TAAATTCCTAAGGACCATGTCAATGTTTTATTAATGTTGCTGCCCATGATGTTGCCTGTTATAGCAGCTTTTTATATTGAGATACTCAATAAACTTTTGTTCCACTGAAAAAAAATTAATATATGCTGTTTAAAATATTTTAAAAGTAAATTTAATCAAGACAAGCAGCTGAGTCCATTCTCTGAAGCAATGCTGGCAAGACCCAGGAGTTTATACTGGCTGAACAGTATGAAGATGGCTAATCTGCGATTTGTGCAAGGATAATGCAATTTACATCTACTGCCTGAATTAACAAATCCAATATGCACTAGAAATAATTTTCCAAAAGATACAGATTTAAAAATATCTAAGAATCAGTGTGATCTACCTTATCTAATCACTCTGTTATCAATGCAGTACTTTTTCCAAATCTATCTTTCTTTATCTTGCTTTGTGATACTGGAACTGTCCCCTTTGCAGAATATTAAGGTTTGCCAGTAAAGGTGCTGAAGGAACACTGAAGTAGGAAGTGGATTCTCTTCCTGGTTCTGGTGTACTTTCTCCATCTTGCTTCCTGTGGTAGGTACCTGCTGATGGTGTCTGGGAACACAGTGGCAGTGCTCACTATCTATAAAGTTTCAGTGGTACCCCAGCTGGTAGCTTCCCATCAAGTTTCACTGGCACCCTAGAAGTTTCAAGGCCATTCTAGTGGATGGCTTCCTAGCAAGTCTTGCCAGCACTCCAGCAGGCAGTTTGCTGCGTGCTAGTCCTGGTCTGGTGAAATTCTATGCAATCCAGTGGCCATAATAACACCTCTCCCACATGATCTGAATCAGCCTAGATCTGGGGAGGGGCTCTGTTCCAAGTTTGCTACTTCATTAGGTACTATACCTGAGCCCTAGAGGTAGTAGCTGCTCCCTATATTGTATTCCCATATTCTTTAGAATTCCCTCTGCCTTTTAGTAGTTAATACCCTGTTACTACTTAATAACTCCTTATATTAAAATTTCTGGTCAGGCGTGGTAGCACAGTTCTGTAATCCCAGCACTTTGGGAGGCCAAGGTGGACAGATAGCATGAGTCTAGGAATTTAAGACCAGCCTGGATGACATGGAAAACTCTGTCTCTACAAAAAAATACAAAAAATGTCTGGGCATGGTGGCTCATGCCTATAATCCCAGCACTTTGGAAGGCCAAGACAAGCAGATCACAAGGTCAGGAGATCAAGACCAACCTGGCCAACATGGTGAAATTCCTGTGATCCCAGCACTTTGGAAGGCCAAGGCGGGTGGATCACGAGGTCAGGAGATCGAGACCATCCTGGCTAACACAGTGAAACTCCATCTCTACTAAAAAAAAAAAAAAAAAAAAAAAAAAAAAAAAAACGAGGTGTGCCTATATATAGTAAAATAAAATAATGTGGCACAGTAATAACAAATGCCATGGTTTAATTTTTAAAGGCATTTTCATCCTTAAAAACACCTGGATTAATAATATAAGGCTATTTCCTTTCTGCCCTACATGAAAAAACAGAAAGCTCAAAATCAATCCAATTTGGTGTGCAGCACTTTTCTAATATTTAATATTTACATGTTAAGAGAATTATTACAAAATTCCAACTTTTCCTGAAACAATGGGAAGAGCTGGCAATCCTAGGCCCATTAATCTCCAGGTGACAACAACCAGAACCAGATGAAACCAAGAAAAGGCTGCATTCTCCTATCACACTCTACACCAATGTTTGTCTCCCACTTATGGTTAGTTTTTTAAACCAGATCTGTTCACTCACTTTTATTACATATTTGGTGCCATAAGCATTTGTAAACCCTGTTTTTGTATCATCAGGTAAATGTAATATACACTATAAACTAACAAAATTACAGAATGACCTATTGAGTTACAAAAGGCCACACAGTACACGATTCCATTTATATGAAATGTCCAGAATCAGCAAATCTACAGACAGTAGTAGCTTGGTGGTTGCCTAAGGCAGGGGTGGTGAGGAAGAATACAGATGACTACTGCTAATGGGTTTAAAACTTCTTTTTGATGTATGTTTAAAATTAGATTGTGGGCGGGGCACGGTGGCTCAACGCCTGTAATCCCAGCACTTTAGGAAGCTGAGACTGGTGGAGCACAAAGTCAGGAGTTCCAGATCAGCCTGGCCAATATGGTAAACCCTGTCTCTACTAAAAATACAAAAATTAGCTGGACATGGTGGCGGGCGCCTGTAGTTCCAGTTACCTGGGAGGCTGAGGCAGGAAAATTGCTTGAACCCAGAAGGCAGAGGCTACAGTGAGCCAAGATAGCGCCACTGCACTCAAGCCTGGTGACAGAACGAGACTCCATCTCTAAATAAATAAATAAAGTGTACATAAACCAGTTTTTTGTAAAATGAGCTTTTCAGTTGTCCTTTGTTTTACAAGTCTCATTTGTAACCTCAATCGTGAAATTTTCCATCCTTCTACCAATCTGTTAATAGGCAGCCATTAGAGCACCATTTCGGGTAGATTCTGAAAGCAATTCTGAATCCTTGGTTCCATTACTGGCAGAGGATTTAATTATGATCTAAAAATATTACAATTAAATTAAAAACTTACTCTTTCTTCTTCTTGTTGTTCCCACAGATCCATGTCTTTAATTCTCTGTTCCTCGTAAGCACTCTTTATTAAAGGAATTTCTTCCAAACGTTTGGCTCTTTCAAAATAGTCAATCTAAATGACATGAAAACAAATGTAGTTTTTACAAATCTCTTTTAACTTGGTATGTTAAAGGTCTACCAATCCTTTCATTTACCTTCTTTTCTTGATTCTTTAGGCGTTCTTGGAGTTCTTTCTTTTCTTTCTCCAGTTGTTCAACCTGTTTAGCCATGATGAAATCTGGATCCAATTCTTCAAGGTCCTGAAAGGTAATATAAATGCACAATTGTTAATAAGGATAAACAAGCAATGCCTAACATAACTCACTGTTTTCTAGAATAAAATCCTAAATTGCTTTTATTGTTATAATGGGTGATAATTTAGGAAATGTACAAATATTGTAAAATAGCCTTATTTCCATTTGACCGTAAGGAAAAAAAATCCATACATCTTTTTCTCACTCTTCTAATTTACATCTCCCCATATTCTACTATAGGGTGAGCAAACCTAATCCAAAAACTCATCTGAAATGCTCCAAATTTTAAAACTTTGTGAGCACCAACATGGTGCCACAAATGCAAAATTCCATACCTAGCCCATGTGACAGGTCAGTCAAAATGCATTCAGAACTTTGTTTCATGCACAAAATTGTGTAAAATACTATATAAAGTTACTGTCAGGCTATGTGTATAAGATTTCTATGAAACAGGCCAGGCACGGTAGTTTGCACCTGTAATTCCAGCACTTTGGGAGGCTAGTGCAGGTTAATCACTTGAGGTCAGGAGTTCAAGATCAGCCTGGCCAACATGGTGAAACCCCCATCTGTAAAAAAATACAAAAACTAGCCGCCAGGCGTGGTGGCACAAGCCTGTAATCCTGCCTACTTGGGCTGAGGCAAGAGAATCACTTGAACTCAGGAGGTGAAGGTTGCAGTGAGCCCATGTATCACTGCACTCCAACCTGGGCAACAGAGTGAGACTATCTTTTTAAAAAAAAAAAAAAAAAAAGCGTCTTATGAAATAAATGGATTTCATGTTTAGACTCTGGTCCAAACCCCAAAATATCTCCACACACACACACACACACACACACACACACACACACACATATGCAAATATTCCAAAATCCAAAGAAATCCAAAATATGAAACATATCTGCTCCCAAACATTTTGGGTAAGGGATACATAACCTGTCCTGTGATTAATATATAGTGGTTAAAACTGCACAGAGCGGGCCATGTATGGTGGCTCACGCCTGTAATCCCAGCACTTTGGGAGGCTGAGGCAGGTGAATCACCTGAGGTTGGGAGTTTGAGACCAGCCTGGCCAACATGGTGAAACCCCATGTATACTAAAAATACAAAAATTAGCTGAGCGTAGTGGCGGACACCTGTAATCCCACCTACTCGGGAGGCTGCGGCAGGAGTATCACTTGAACCAGGAAGTAGAGGTTGCAGTGAGCCGAGATCGCGTCACTGCACTCGTCTGGGCAACAAGAGTAAGACTCTGTCTCAAAAAAAAANGGCTGGAGTGCAATGGCGCGATCTTGGCTCACCACAACCTCCGCCTCCTGGGTTCAGGCAATTCTCCTGCCTCAGCTTCATGAGTAGCTGGGATTACAGGCACGTGCCACCATGCCCAACTAATTTTTTGTATTTTTAGTACAGACAGGGTTTCACCATGTTGACCAGGATGGTCTCGATCTCTTGACCTCGTGATCCACCCGCCTCGGCCTCCCAAAGTGCTGGGATTACAGCTGTGAGCCACCGCGCCCGGCCCGGTTATCTAATTCTTTACAAGTCCTTCACGGGAAAAGAGATTTGCTGATTTTGTCTGCCATAAGAACGAATCTATTTATAAAAAGCATAGATAAGAGAACTGTAATAAGTGACAGAATTTTAAAAAATAACTTTGAACATTCCAGAAAATTCTCAGAAGGTTAACAGAAATTATCAGTGAAGCTAAATTCTAATTTCTGGCTTCAATGATGTCACTCATTCATTCAATAAATATTTACTGAGTGGCACTGGGATATAGCAGAAAAGAGGACAGACAATATCCCAGCCTCACGGAATCTACTTTCTGTGATGGAGAAAAAACATGTAAACAAACCAATACATAACATAAATTCAGTTATTATAAAGTGCTATTAAGAAAATTAAGGCAGGCATGTAATAGGTGTGGGTGTTATTTTAGGAGATGATTTAGTGTTCTATATTAAATTTCCTACACATAGCATGCAGTAAATGTTATAACAAATATAACCACAGATATATCTTAGGCATACTACTAAGAGGATAGGATTCATGTAGTTCCATAATAAATCAAACTGAATACATTTATGTAAATCATAACAAGCTTATATATGGACTAATGAAACTTACCCTATAGAATGCACTGGTCAAAGGAAGTAATGCTGCGGCAATGTTATATTCTTCTAAGCTTGAACAATCCTTTAAGCAAAACAAAGACAAATGAGCATTAGGATATTTACCAGAAATCACAAATATATGGGAACCAACATCTGGGATACATTATTTACTGTCATATGAGGTTTTACCTTTTTATTTTTATTTTGCAGAGGATTCAATGGGAGGGGTTTATACTTTTATTCTAGATTGCCCAGCTAGGTAAGGCACAGCTAGGTAAGTTTTAGGGGAAAAAACTGTCCATGAAGCCCTTTCTTTTATAAATAAGGTAAAAGGGCTGGGTGCGGTGGCTCATGCCTGTAATCCTAGAACTTTGGGAGGCCGAGGCGGGCGGGTCATGAGGTCAGGAGATTGAGGCCATCCTGGTCAACATGGTGAAACTCCATCTCTACTAAAAACACAAAAATTAGCTGGGCATGGTGGCGTGCGCCTGTAGTCCCAGCTACTCGGGAGGCTTGAATTGCTTGAACCTGGGAGGGGGAGGTTGCAGTGAGCCGAGATCGCACCATTGCACTCCAGGCTGGGCAACAAGAATGAACTCAATCTCAAAAATAAATTAAATAAATAAATACATACATACATACATACATACATACATACATAAATAATGTAAAAGTACATTTGAGACAGGTATTTTCAAACACTATTGCTGAGTAGCTACCTTTACTTTCCTGCTCTACAAAGATTGTGTTAAGTTGTATAACTTACACAAAATATTTTTTGAAGGGGGTTTTAGTTTGTTTACCAACTGTATTCCACTGAGTCTAAGATACATTTTTTGCATATTTTAACATTTCTGAGATTGGGATCACCTTATAATTGACTGGAGGTATTTTTTCTTTCTTATTGTTATATAAAAAGGGTATCTTGCAGGCCAGGCATGGTGGCTCATGCCTGTAATCCCAGCACTTTGGGAGGCTGAGGCAGGCAGATTGTCTGAGGTCAGGAGTTTGAGACCAGCCTGGCCAACATAGTGAAACCCTGTTTCTACTAAAAATACAAAAATTAGTCGGGCATGGTGGTGGGCACCTGTACTCCCAGCTACTTGGGAGGATCAGGCAGGAAAATTTTTTGAACCCGGGAGGCAGAGGTTGCAGTGAGCTGAGATCAGGCCACCACACTCCGGCCTGGGCAACAGAGCGAGACTCCAGCTAAAAAATAAATAAAAAAGGGCAAAAAAAATCAGATAAGATATATCACTGATTCTGATTCTAAAACCCACTGAGTGAAATGCTGATGAATAGGAAGGTCAAGAAATCTCAGTGGGAATGTAAAATGGCACAGTGACTGTGGAAAACAGTATAGCAATTCCCCACATGCAAAAAAAGAAAGAAATATAGAATTACTGTATATTACTATTCTTTTTCCGGGCATATATCCAAAAGAATGGAAAGCAAGAACTCAAACAGGTTTTTATATATTCATGTTCACAGAAGCATTTTTCACAACAGGCAAAAGGTAAAAGCAACCCAAGTGTCTTGTCGACAGATCAGTGAATAAACAAAACATGGAATACAAGCACATACACATAGATGCAAGGAATAGTCAGCCTTAAAAAGAAATTCTGACACATGCTACAGCATAGATCAACCGCAAGGACACTATGCTAGACAGATAATTTTTTTTTGAGATGGAGTCTTGCTCTGCCACCCAGGCTGGAGTGCAGTGGCATGATCTTGGCACACTGCAACCTCCACCTCCTGGGTTCAAACAATTCTCATGCTTCAGCCTCCCAAGTGGCTGGTATGACAGGCATCTGCCACCATACTCGGCCAATTTCTGTATTTTTAGTAGAGACAGCGTTTCACAATGTTGGCCCGGCTGGTCTCGAACTCTTGACCTCAAGTGATCCGCCTGCCTCAGCCTCCCAAAGTGCTGGGATTACAGGTGTGAGCCACTGTGCCAAGTGGATAGATACTTTCATATAGTTACATTAACCAGTCTTTCCTCTGTCTGGTAGTGGGGTCCAATGTGGCCAGAATCCAGAACAGTGTCCACAATGACTGCAAAAGCTAAAACTGATCTCCTTAGAGGGCCAAGAATAATAATTAAAGCCCTAACTTTAGACAATGTAGCTATCTCTATCAAAACTCCTCATCCATCAGTTATGTTATATGTTTGCATGAATTGATTTTAAACTTATAGAGCTGGGACCTTAGACATCAATTATTCCAGTGTAATTCCTCCACTTTCCAGTTTAAAGAGGCATAGATGTCAGCCACAGAGCCACAACTGGAATCTAGATTTATCTACCTATCAGTGTGGTGTTTTTTCCTTTAGACACTGCCTTTTGTACTTGATTGCTTTCCTTTTATTCTTGGGTAGAAAATATGGATTATCTGAACTTCCAGTACCAATTTGGAGTGTGAGAGTGGTGAGAACAGACCTGACCAGGAGAGCAGCATAAGGCTTAGAGCTGCCTAGGTACACTAGTGCCAGAGACAAGCACTCTAGAAAACAGGAGGAAGAGTCAGAAGGGAAGGTGAGAATATACCACAGATAATCTTTGCCTATTTCAAAATACTGCTGTGGATGGGGAGGGTGTAGTACTGACCTGAGGAAAAAGGAAAACACTTTCTTGCACGAGTACTTTTGGTACTAGGATCAACTAAAAGAGTTTTCAATTGAATTTCATGTACTGTCAATTCTGAAAAACAGTTTGGAATTTACTGCATGTTCTATTGCAATGACTACTGAAACAATAATGGATTATAAGGCTGGGCACAGTGGTTCATGTCTGTAATCCCAGCACTTTGGGAGGCCAAGGCAGGTGATCACCTGAGCTCAGGAGTTTGAGACTGGCCTGGGCAACTTGGTGAAGCCCTGTCTTTACAAAAAATACAAAAAATTAGCCAGGCACGGTGGCCTGTGTCTGTAGTCCCAGCTACTCAGGAGGCTGAGGCAGTAGAATCGCTTGAACCTGGGAGATAGAGGTTGCAGTGAATCGAGATGGCGCCATTGCACTCCAGCCTGGGCAACAGAGAGAGACCTGGTAAATCCTTGCAGTCATTCTCAAATGGATCATATTCTGTGGCCCAATTAAAAACAAAAAAGTAAAAGATAGGTTCAAGCTTCCTATATTATGCTAAAAATAAATACTTTTAACTAACTCATCATTTTGACTAAATGTTTATTGAAGAAATGAGTAAGTGAATAAATAAAGGAATAAACATAAGGAGAATAATGAGAAAAAGGAGCTAAGGCAGAAACCTGGGAAAGATATATATTTATGTAAAGGGAGTGAGGGAAAATCAAGATGTGGAAAAAGAACTGGTGAAAATGGTATCATAGATGTTAAGAGGTAATGACCAATAGTGTTACATGCTTTAGAGGAAGTTTAGTAAAATGAAGATTGGAAAACAAAAACAAAAACACACACAAAAAACCCATGAGAAACTGGTGAATATAAGAGGTCACTGATGACTTCTGACAATATTAGGGACAAGGTGAGTAGAACAAAAGTCCCTGACTATAAATCTTCAAGGTTGGAAAGGAGAGCAATAAAATATCCACTTGGGCTGGTTGTGCAGGCTCATGCTCATAATCTCAGTACTTTGGGAGGCCAGTGCAGGAGGACTGCTTGAGCCCAGGAGTTTAAGATCAGCCTGGGCAACACAGACTCTGCTTCTACAAAAAATAAAAAAAATGAAAAGCCAGGCATGACGGTGCATGCCTGTAGTCCCAGCTACTTGGAAGGCTGAGACGGGAGGATTGCTTGAGCTTGGGAGTTTGAGGTTGCAGTGAACTATGATCACACCAC